CTATACGGTTAATATTAGAGAACTGTCCGATCATGTTTATCTAATGTATATATACAATATACCTAAACGTATGAGATTTCGTGAAGAACAATTTGTTCTTTTCCGATTCTGATCGGTGCTTTATTTTTTTTCAGTACGATGAACGATTTTTTTTTTTTTTTTTTTTGAATTCAAGATGTGGAAGAATAGACAATTATATTGAATTTATGAATTCAAGAATCCCTTCATTCTAGGTATCATATTTGGTATTTTTTTTTCAATTTCTGTTTTCATTACGGTTATTCGTGAATATTTGATTGCGTGCTTGATTTATAAAGAGAGAAACTGCCATAGGTGAGAGAAATGTGGGAAAATTGATTGCGTGCTTGATTTATGGAGATTGGAGAGAGAAACCAATCATTAGTTGAGAGAAAGGTAATCCCGTAGATGTGAAAATAATATCACATATAAATTCTTTTTTGATTAAATTTTCTTTACTACGTAGATATGTAGATATATCCTACATGCAATATATATATGTAAATTTCCCACTTGTTAACCAATTATTTATGGGTCATTCCCCCTTATTTGTAAGACAACCCTCTATTTTCTTCCTTTTGCTCTTTTTTTTTTTATATATATTTATATTATAATCAAACCTCATCTCCATATTTTCTTATATTTTTATGGCCTAATTGCCGGTAAAATCATGACCTTACAACATTTTGCCGTTTTAACCAAACTTTTACAATTTAGCAAACATAGCATAACATTGTCTATTTTTGGCAATTCGAATCACCGGGCTGAATTCGAGCTTTGTCTACAGTGGCGATAAAAAATGGTGATAAAAATATAAGCAACATTGGGGTTCGAACCTAGGACCTCAAGGTTGTAAGATAACATTGGAATCACTAGACCAACCCAAATTGTTTGTTAAATTTAATAGCATTTAATATATATAGACACTCTCTATGAATAAATCAAATCAAATTTAAAATATAATGTAAATTATATTAATAATATAAGTTATTTTATATTAGAGTAAATTTAAATTAAATTAAATTTATATATTTCATA